GGGGGGGGGGGGGGATTTATCAAATTTAGTTCCGATTTTTTGGTTTTCCGGTTTTCTGAATTCCGGATAACGGGTTCTGTACTGTATATAAATATTTAAAAAAATATTTAAATTTTTTTTTACCCTCCAATTTGATTGTTTTAGTTCACAAAGCATGTTTTTTCATTAGCAATTACATAGTTTTAATATTGTAAAAATTTGCACATGCCTAACAATTTAAAATTTTTTAAAATATAATAAATACTCTTAAAAAGTAATATTTTGTATTTAATTATCTTTGAATAAATAAAGATGTAATTGTCTACAAAATTTTTCGACACACTTAAATAGAATAAATCATTATACCAATAATACCTATCATGAAATACTAATCATTATACCAATCGATGAAATACCAATCATTATAAAAGTTATTAAGTTTCCAGTCTTTCATTTTGTGTACCACATATAAAATAATGAATAACTTAAAATAACTCAATAAAAAAGCTGTACCTGATGAATATACCCCCGCGGTATATAAAGCATTTCACCAGCTTTTAAGCAAACTTGCAGAATTGGAACGCCAATCTCATTTTGAGAAAAATCCTCTGAAATACAAATTTTTAAAATTATTTTTTTTTAAGAAAAAATAGAAAAATGGAAAAAAATTTAAAAAATTATATTTTTATGTATTATGTTTTGTTATAGAAAAGGAAAAATTATAACAAATAAATAACAGTAAACTTTTTTAGGAATAAGATTATATAGACACAGGGGTTTCTGAACTTGACTAAACAGTCAATCCAATTAACAAATCTTTAATACCTTAAAAAATAAAAGATGTTTGTCACTAATAAGTTTGGAAGTTAATGACATTTATTTAAATAAGAAACACAAGGAAAAACTAAACGAGCATGTGTTACACTCACAATTTCAAATTTATCAAAATTAAATAACATAAAAAGCAAAATTAATTCCAAATTCATCAACAGCTTTTTTCATTTGATAAACTAAGTACTATAGCAAACTGTTATGTATTAAGTAATACAGTCAATTGTGGACAATAATTATGTTGTAATATGGCTCCTGATTTAATAATTGTTATATTCTTAAATGTATTTCATTAATTTTCATTGTTAGGCACTTTAAACTCCAATTTTATGGCACTATGATTTCTACCCCCTCCTCTTCAATCAGAGATCGATTAGAAGAAAGGTTTTGTTTTAAGCACTTAAAACAACAAACAGCTGCATGGGTAGCCGCCCTACTCAGCCAGAGATGAATTTACTCAATGATCCGCGGCTAATAAGCAAAGACCATTAACAGTGTAGTCGTAAAAGTTGGGCGACATAAGTTTTTTCTCTTCATCAGGGTGTGTAGCCAGATCTTTCAACAAAAAATAAGCACTTTTTATGTACTTTTTAAGCACTCAAAAAATATTTTTAATCACGTAAAAAAATATCATAATTATGATCTGTGCAATAACGAAATTTTTTTTATCGTTAAAGGTTCTAAATTTATAAACATAAAATAAATAAAATTCAAAAAATTTACATAATCATGATAAAATAACTAATTTCTGATACATATTGCAGAGAAAATTGCGAAAATAATGCATATTTTGTAATTTAGAATGCCAATTGAAAGAATGAATGGCAAAGAAAAAAATCTCCTTTTAAAAGATAGAAATTTAAGAAACGCAAATAAAAAATAAGCACCTTAAGGCTCTTTCTCAAAATGCTACGCACCCTGCTTCATGCTTTGATATAGCTTTTTTGCAGCATACTAATAATAGAGGACAAATGAGCTCTTGACACGGTGTGGCATCATGGATTCTCCAGGGAGAATATCTTTGAGAATGGATACATATCTTTATTGAATATAAACTTTTCTTTTACCCCATAAATTTAATATTAATCACATGCCTTTACAATTATTTTGATTAAATTATATATGTTCTAATTATACTGTACACGTGATGTGTTCAAACCTTGTTACTTGTCAAAATTTTGTAGACTAGATTTTCAATAACTAATAAACTTAGTACCTCTAATAATGTAGACCATTATTTTAGACCGAATTAAGTTTTATTAATAAATTCTTTATAATGTTTTTATTAGGTTAAATATCCAGCTTTCACTTGGTTATTTAAATCAGTCTTAACTTATCTTTTCCCTTATGTTGAATCTCAAGTTTAAACAGGGTGGCCACTCAAAACAGATTTCAAATTTCCCTGATTTTTCCAGGTTTTCCAGGTAAAAATCTTAAAATTTCCAGGTTTGTGTTTTTTTCCTTTTTTCTTATAAAGTGAAGGATGTGTACAAGAAAAGTGTCTGTATTATAAAATATCTTATTCAAAATGTCATTTTTTAAACATATCTTGAAAAAACAATTTTTTTTACAAGATATTTTTTTATTATTTTTCAATGTTCTGGTACAACATTAAGTTTTAAATAATTAAGATGTGGAGAAAATAATATGTTTAACTTGCAGAATATATTGTTTTTATTGAATAATTTTAATTGTTTTTATTGAATTTAATGTGTTACTTTAAGTAGTATTTGCTCAAAGTGTACCTACAAAATGACAAAATCAGAATAACCAATAAAATCTTGGATAAGTATTGTTTAATATATTTTCATTAAGGAAAAGAAAACTGTTTCAGGTAATTATATATCAATAATTTTTAATATATATCAATAATTTTATATTGAAATACGAAATAAAAATTCAATAATTAAAATGAATATTTCACAATGGGTATTTGATAATAAGATGTATAATCTATTCTTAGCAAAACTGCACGGAATATTTTAAAAACAAAGCAAAACTTAATTATTTTTATCAAATAGTAACAAAAATGTTACCCCACGAAAGTCATCATACATTTAAATGTTTTGGATCTCAGAATTAAAATTATCGTCAATTGCTTTTTTTATTTAATTATTTTTCATTTAATTTTTTATTTCTTTATTAGCAATTTAGTATCAAACCTATAATAGCAAAATTATATTTTAATTTTTGCTTGCTAACTCCGTAATATTTTATTTTATCATTTAAAAATGACTTGTGGTCGTAATAAAATAGACCAAATTTGATTATTTGTCTTCATAAGAGGTAAATCAGTAATGAATATGTTAAATTAGTTTACTGTATTCAATTGAACTGTGCAATATGTGATAAAATGCTTAAAGGAAGGACTTCATATCAGAGATTAAAATTATAAATTTTGTGGAAAAATTCATAAATATGCAATTGAGTATTGTAAAAGTTCCTGTAAAAAATTTTAAAAAAATATTCTGCACGAATTTCAGCTGACAAAAAAAAATAATAAAATAATAATAATAATAATAACTGGTTACACGTATTTTCAACCTTTAAAAGCTATTGTAGATGCTAAAGGAAACTCCACTAAATGTTTATTTAAAGAAAAATTAGATTTACTAATAGACTGAGTTTTTTCTTTAAAAGTGTATGACTTTTGTGGGATAAAGTTTTTGTCACTTTTTGATGATTGATTCCTTAAAAATAAACTTTCCCTTAGTTTTCAAAATATTTCATATTGTCATTTAAAATATTTCAGTTTTGTTAAGATTAGAACACATTTTTTATCATTAAATATGTATTCTGAAACATTCATTTTAATTAATGGATAGTCTTATTTCATTGAAAGTCATAAGTGTATCAACACTTTTGTGAATCACTGTAATTACATTTCAATATAAAGCTGTACTGTATACTGCATTTCATTTTACCAGTGCTTTTTATAAAGTTCACTGATCATATTTTCCTTAAACCAATATCTCAAGTCAAATTTTTAAATAATGGTAGTTTGAAATGACATTTTTATTTTAAGAGATTCAGTATAAAAAAAATAAACGTCAGAATTGTAAAATTGTCTAATTTTCAGTTCTATACTCTATAGAAGAAAAAAAATAGATAAAATTCCTTAAAATTTATACTTTTTTGATTTTTTTTCTTATTTGAAATTAAAACATTTACAGAATTCCAATCTAAACACACAGTTTTTTAGTATAGCATAGTTAATTGTTTTGTTTGAACAACTGAAATCTCGTGCAGTGCAGAACTAAAACACTAAGTTTCGTTTTCCTTCTCCTGACTAAACACATATGAATAAAAAAAAATTATATTTTACGTATATACCTCATTTAATATGTTTCCTATATATTCCTTAGTCATTGTCAGCTTTTTTAGGTAAAAAGATGAATAGTTTTGAAATATCATCTCTGGAATGCAAGCAACATTAACAAACTTTCGATATTGTGATAACTATACAATTCAAATTTTGAATCAAAAAGCTAATATTTACCAACAAAACCGTAAAATTTGACATTAATATATAGTTAGTTCTAAAAAAAAAACTTTTTTCAAAATAAAAATATACTATAAAAGGTTAAAATGAAATAGAAAAAATTAGCATTAATGCAAGAATTGTAACAATTTGTCGACAAACATTGCTGTTAGTGATGGGGGAAAATGCGTGATTGGTTGGTTTGCTGAGAAAAAATAATTTACAGATTTCTTTGAATGGGAGTTCAAAAGCTTTCAGAAAAAGAGTGCAATATAAAATCTATTATTATTAAATTATAACCAACTAATTTTTAGAGAATTTAATAAAGTTAAAAATACAACAACATTTTGTCAAAATAGAAAAAAATTACCACTCTCAATTGCGAACAAACTTGAATCATTGTGTGAACATGGACAGAATTTAAAAACCGAATCCTAACCCTGTCTTCCATAATCTTTGCCTTTCCTAAATTGCACAGTCCCATAGTCTGCATAGAGATCAAAGACATTTGCTTAGCAACCATGGGAGAATTTTATGTTGTATTCTAGTTTAACAGGGTAATAATGGAGCAAATTTTGATGAAAGCAAATTAAGTTGATGATATTTTAATTGTTTGGAGATACATTTCCGTCTAAAAAATGTGGGTATAATGGATGAAACAATATAAGAAAATTATTAGCAAATAATTTAAATTCGTGAAATTAAAAAAATATATAGGAAAAAATTTCCAGCTTTTCTTTAAAATTTCCAGGTTTTTATCTATATTTCCCTGATTTTTCCAGGTTTTTTCCAGTATAAAAAAAATTCCCTGATAATTCCAGGTGGGTGGCCACCCTGTTAAATCTCTATGATCAAAATGTTAATTCATAATAAATAGATACAACAAAATAGTTAAAGGTTTCTAAAAAATAGCATCAGTTACAAAGAAAATAAAAGTAAAAATTAAAAAAAACATAAAATTTTTAATTAGAACCCATGTCGATTCTATTATTTCATGATTTTAGAAAATTATTTGAATATCTTTATTGAATATATCATATATATGCAATATTATAATATTATATGCAAATTATCTGTTCATCATATGAAGTTAAATAAAATTGAAAAAAAATCAATAAATTAGAATTAATTAACATTGCACAATCATTTTCAAAACTGAAATGCCTAAGCAGACACAAATATTATTATCTGTTGCCTCCATATTATCAGATATAGAAAAACTTGCTTTTATGCATTCAAATAAATAAATAATTATTATTTGGCACCAAAACTGTTGATTGCAGCCAACATATGATAGCTCAAATTTACCAAAAGCAACCAATTCTCCCAATGAATTGGCACTTCAGTACATAGCTTAATTTGTTTTAAAATTTGCAACTTTAATATAAATAAACACATGATTTTAGATAGATTTCAAAATACTGATTCTGTGGCTCTGTATGCCATATAGGTTAGTTTTATTTGTGCTTACACAACATAATGAACAAAAGTAAATAAATTGCTAAGTTAATATTGCAACAATGCTTAGTCCTTATGTAAAAAATCTGTTTTTTTCACAAGTTTCCCCTCAAGCCGACTTGCTAAAAGTTTGGAATGACTTTCAGTATTAGAGGATGAAGAGAGAGACTTTTCCTTTAATAATTAAAGATGAATGTAAGAATATTATAACTTACTGCTTGAATATCTGGCCAATTCTTCCTCAGGATACCTGTTAAATATTCATTACTAATTAATTTAAAGAAAATATTACATCACAGTAGTCTCATTATTGTAAACTATCAAAAACATCATCACATTAATTGATCAAGCTTTAAACAATGTTCATTTTACTTAATAAAAATATCAAATTTTCCACAAAAACTCAAAATTCATTTTTAAAAAATAATAACAACAATAGTCACATAGAAAATACAGTAGTCTCATTATTGTAAACTATCAAAAACATCATCACATTAATTGATCAAGCTTTAAGCAATGTTCATTTTAGTTAATAAAAATATCATAAATTCTTCTACAAAAACTCAAAATTTATTTTTTTAAAAATAATAATAATGACAATAGATTAATTGCATATTTGCAACTAATGAAGAAGACAGCTAAAATCAGATGGTTGCGTACAAACAGAGCATTAACGTTAGAGTTATTAGGCTTGGTTTATTATCTTGCTGTATCAATTTCGAGTTTGATTTTCAATTGAGTACATGCAAGCAATGTCATGCACAGGGTGTTGAGCTTGATTAGCTGTTAAATTGTGGCATAAACAAATATCATGATTCAACAGCCAATCAGGTTAGACACCCACACATGACGTCACCTTCAGTTACCCAATTATATACGAGTTAAACACTAGTATAGTTTTCATTTTACAATAAAAGGTAACACATAGTTATAAACCAGACTGTCTTTCAATTAAATATTGAGTAATTCAAACTAGCGTCAGTCATTTGAAAATGTCTTAAAAGCAACAAAAAATAACAAATTTTTAATTTTTTTCAAATTTTTAATTCACGTTCCAAGAAGAAATCTAAAAATCTCTCAGGTTTTCAAAGTAATAGTTCTTTAAAAGTACTCATAAGTAAAACAAATAAATAAATGAAATGAAGCGAGGAAAAAAAAAAGGACTAAACCTTCACTTCAATAGATATGAATAATATAATATATTTTTCTGCATTTTTTTTTTATTCATAGCAAGTACAGTGCATGCATCAACTTTCTCTAGAAAGCCTCATTTCCTTCGTCATACTAATGCAAATGGATTAGGCTCATATAAATCATAAATCTGATACAAATCATCAATCATAATCGTTTATAAATAAATAGAGTACATGCAGAGGTGTATTAAGAGGATTCAATCCCTAAATCTTTGCTAGAAATATTACAATATAGAATTATAGAACTACACAATATTTTTAAGATTCATCACTTTAAAAATATTGTGTACCTTATCAACAATTCCAGTAGCAAAAATAATTATATTGGTTGAAAAAAAATAAATTATTATTATTCTAAATTAAAAATAGTTTGGAGCTAACAGTTTAGGTTAATTATTTTTTTGTTAAACATAATTAGATCAGGTATGTTTATGTAATGGTAAAAAAAAAAGAAGAAAATAAACTACATTAAGTTTTTAAAAGAAATTTTTAGTTTTAAACAGAAACTTAACATTTTAAGTAATCAGTACATCTTAATGTCTCCCCTGCTCTATATATCGATTCTTTTAGTAAAAATGTTCCTTTTTGGAGAATTAAAATTTTTTTTGTAATAATCAGAAAACACAAAAAAGGAATTATAAATGTAAAAATTCCCTATCTTGAGGAAACTTTTTATGTTTTTGATAAAAGTAAAGAGCTTTTTAAAAGTTCAGGAGATAACACAAAAAATTGGGAATATCTCCTTAAAAATAAATAAAACATCATATGAATTACAAAACAGGAGAAAGCAGTTTCAATAACTAAATATTTAAAAAAAAAACATACCTAGGGGGATATACTTTCCAATATTTCCTTCCCTCTACTTGAACAATAAATGCATCAATATCATCATAATGAGGTGGAAAACCCTGAGCTTTTGGAGGAGTTAAATATCTGAAACAAATATTTTTTTTAATATAAATAAAATACATACACAATTCAACATCTAATTTCAATGAAGCTTTTAACTTCCAAATTAAATCTTTTTCAATTAGTTTAAAAACATTTTTTTAAAAATATAACATATTTTTAAAATTTTAATATTTTGAATTGAAAATTTTGTTTTGAAAAACTAATTTAAACTATAGATTAGGGGTGCACAACCTTTTTGAGTGAAGGGCCACTTGCACAGCAGGTAGATTAAAGAAGGGCCGCACACAGATTTAGTCATGTTAGGGGCAAATATGATGATTTTTATATAAATATTAGTGTTCTAAGTACTTAATATTTTTATCAGTAAACTTAATAAATTAGCACAAAATTAAATGCTTTTAATTATTTGAATTTATTTAAAACTTTTTTCACAATAATTAATTTATCAAATATATATAGATTAGATATACATAAATATTAGGGAGGATATAAATTCTAAACAAAAAGAAGCATGTAGAATGAAAATGCAAAAAATACAGACATTTTAGAGTAATATGAATTTGAATTAATTATTTTAATTTAAGAAAATTTATATTGTTTAAACAAAAAACAAACTAAAAGAATTTTCTTGTTGCATTCAGAAGGACCACACAATAACAGTTGATGGGCCGCAGGTTGTGCACCCCTACTATAGATTATACACAAGAATTAATTTTTAATAAAAAAATCATCCATTTAGGTAATAGTTAATTTTAATACACAATTAATCATCTCCCCTTTCCCAATATGCTGCTAAAAAAAGGACTCAAAATTTAAATTTTCTTTTTTGAAAAAATTTGAGTTATTTATAATTCTTTTATTTAAAAGAAAATAAAGTCAAATAGTTGTTTTGGAAATTTAAAATCAAAATACTTTGATAGATTATTTGTGTCAGTTAAATGCGTAGACAAATCTTTCAACAAAAAATAAGCACCTATTAAGGACTTGAAAAATATTTTTAAGCACTGTACACAACAAAATGCAAAATAATTTTCAGAGACTTTACATGATCATGATATAATAACTAGTCTCTGAGAAAGAACTTTTTTTCTTGTTTATATTAGCTACCATAAAAATATCGAGAGGTTTTTCGGTTCGATATCAGAGGGCGGAAAATAAATCCTGAATTTGAGAATATTTAGCAATATGCAGCATATGAGAGTGCTAAAATTTCACCAAACTCAGCTCAGATGCACATGCGGACTCGCAAGTAGTTCATAAAACATATAAAATGATAGCTGCTTTCATACACTACGGATCAAAATGGATTGTGGTTGAATGAATTGTGAAAACGTTCAAGCACTTTTTAAAAACACCCCATGAAAAAGCACCTTTAAGGGCTTTTAAAAAACGAAAATAAGGACCTTTAAGCACTTTTTAAAAATGCTACGCGCCATGAAAAAAATATATATATAATTTGTAATTGAATTAAGACTAACATATTTTAGTAACTAAGAATCTTTTGATTTTGGGTTTTAAACTGAAAATAATTATGATAAACAATTGAAAATAGAACTTGCAATTGTAAAATTATAATTTCTGTCATTTATTCAACTGTAAAACTAATTTTAGATGTACAAATACAAGTAAAAACAGAATTCCAAGCGTTTTCATCAATCGATTACATCATTTTTATGAAATTTTGTAGATAAACATAAAATTAACAATTTGAATCGCTTTAAAATAGTATTATAAAGGAAAACTTCATTAACAATATATAACTGACTTTTATTTTTGAAAAATAAAGAAAAAAAGAACATAAAAAAATTAAAAACTTACATATTGCAACCAACAGTACTTGAGAAATATTCCTGCAGAAGAGAACACATATTCCAAAGATTTTTGTTATAAGCTTGAGGGTTGCGAACTCTCAGCGAAAAACCATCCTGCGAAAACACAGATTACAATTAACTTAATTGGAATACAGTTTTTTTAAAAACAATATCAGAAAAGAAGCTAATAATTCCTAATTTCTCAGGGTAAATAATACTGATCAAAATCTCAATAAAAAAGACAAAAACATAGCATCAATAGACTGTGTTTAATAAGTTAGATTAAAACCCAGTTGATTAAAAAAATAAAAAATATGTTACTTAAAATTGCAAAAAAATAGAAAAGCATTAGAAACAAAAAAAATAAACAACCAAAAGAAAGCATTAAAAAAATAGGCAATTAGATGCAACAAATTCCTTATTAACCAACAATATTTTTGTTTAAAAGGAGGTGAACAGTATCAAATTTAATGCTGTATAAAAACAATATACAGCATGGTTTTTAAGCTTTTAATTACAGAATTAATGTATCATATCAGAAAACAAAAGAATGTTAATAAGAAAGTCTAAATTTAATATTAATATAGAAAAAAACTATCAATTTAAATATAAAAGATTTAGCAAAATTGACAATTTTAGAACAATAAGTGAATTATTCCAAAATGAGCTACTTTGAAAAATCTGAATTGCTGGTACCACTATCATTGTTAATCCATATATTAGGGGTACGAGAAGGTAATGTTGTTTCGGGGCAATAAATATTCGTTAGTCTTAAAAACTTATTCATTTTTTTCGATCCATTGTTGCGAACGAGGTTGAATACATTATTGATTAAAAATAAAATCTTGAAAACAAATATCAAATGCACCAAAACGACATTTCTTTCCAGTCGCCCTAATATTTAAACTTAATTTTGATTAGTTTTTATATATTTTGAACAAAGCACAATAGAAAATTTTTGGCCATGTCATTATTTTTCCACAAACATAAAAGAAAAAATAACAAAAATTTGAGAAAAAAAGTGATAAAAAAAAACTTGGAAAAATAGAAAGGTTTATAAAAAATAAGAACCAAGTTATGGATTAGAGGACAAATTGTTATGCCGAAAAAGCATTTTGATCAATGAATGAACTAATTTTAACAGAGATGCCAACTCGCTCCGGACAGCAAATAAATATTTTCGAGTGGTAGTTTATTAATTACGATTCTTGGTTTAATAAATTTAATTTATTAGGCTTTTATCCACCACTATTTCTAAATAATTCGAAAGGTCATATAATTCGCCATTTAGTTATAGTTAAGTCATGCTAAACTTTCCAAAAAATAAGCAAAATGATTCAAATTATTTGCAAATTTCAGTTAGTAGTTATTTACCGTTTTTTAAATTATTTTGGCGTGTCCGGAGCAGTTGGCATCTCTGTTTTAAGTATGTAAAGTACTTCGAAAATAATATGTTGGTCTAAAAATGTGTTCGTTTTTGGTTGACAAATGTGAATATTTATAGTTATATAATAAAACTCATTATATAAAATATATTAAAAAATTTTAGACTGTCTTAATTTATACAATTGTATTTACAGTTCGAAATTGGAACTGTTTGCAATTGACCATATATCGATTGACTAGATCTACTACATACATTACAATGAAGGGACAACTTTCAAATAAATATTTTCGTAACATGAAATAGCACTTACGAAAATATATATATTCTTCAATATCAAAAGTTTAGAAAATATATAATCTAAAAGCTGCATTAAAAAAATAAAAAAAACATAGATGAAACTTAAACAAATAGATTTAAAGATTTGTTGTGGAATCTTATGTAAATGCTGTTTAATTTTGATATCATGGTCTGTAATAATGGAGTATTAAATATTTTTTTAAGAATAAAATTACCTTATAATCCTCCCACACATTAGAGTAATATGCTCTACCATTAGCTGAAATAGGAAGCCTCATTCCTTTGATATATTTTACCACATCAATATGCACCTTATACTCAAGATTATGCTAAAACAAAAATGTTTCTCATTTTAATGTAAATAATAAAAGAAGAACAAATGCAGGAAAACAATATATATACATACAGACACATATACATACACATATCAGTAATGCAAGCGGCAAAATATGGTTTTGAAGCAACATAAAAAAGCAATTTTAGAGCAGCGAAACAAAGATTCGGAGCATATTTAAATAAGAAGTTGTTATAGGTTACTAGTTTGGCTTTCATAAACAAAACTTCAAGTTAACTAAAATTATTTTATATTTTATTTCATAATAAACTGATACATAATATGTAATAATGAAGAAGCCTCTAATTTTGCACACTATACTTGTTTCTTTAACGTGCCTATTTCTCTTGGAACTGTAAGTACTATTTTAAAAATGAACAAATGAATTCTAAAATTTAAGAACAGATTTAAAAAAAATAAAATGAAAAAGCAAAAAGAATTTTTAATTTTGTTTATTAATAACATAACTTATTTTTTTTAGGTCCCTGCATTAACAGATTAAGTTTCGTTTTGGTTCAATGCTGTTAAATACCCTGCTCCTCGACTTAGTCTCAGATAAGAGGATCTGTGTGCTTCCTATAATAGACATGTCTTTATTATTTAACCCATCTTTAATATTTGTTTCAGCGGTGGCTAAGAGATCCTGTGAGCCTTCAATTTTTTTTTTTTTTGCAAGTAAATTTCAACAGCTTTCAATCTTCTTTAATCGGTTTCAATGTTTTCACTTTTTTTTTTCAAGCTCTAATCGAGAAGAATAATTTTTAAATTTCGCATGAGCCACTTTTATCACACCTCTGTCAACTTTAAAGTTATTTAATTAAACCTCCTATTTCGTTGATATGCGACACAATTTGTCTCAAACCATTTGACTATAGAGTTTAAACAATAATTTGAATTTAAATTTGAAATATATTTTCAACTAGCTTTTTGCTTACACTAAAACCTCTTTCAACTTCAGCATTTCCGTGAAAATAAAAGAGCATAAAAGAGCTTTAAATAGCTTTGTTAAAAGAGAATATTTGGTATTTCCCAAATTATCTTTCTTCATAAAACAGTTTTCACAATACATGTTAATCAGTGCATATTCATTTGAGTCAGAAGAATAATCTTTTGGTTCACAACGTAACCTCATCCATTCATAGAGTAACAAAGATGCCTCTTCAGGTCTTACATTCATGCAAGTGTTTGTTTGAGAGAAAATACTTTTTTAGTGGTTGGCAGCACTAATAACGAAAACACACAGCAATAAAGAAATATGGAATGTAAGACAAAAACATAGAGCATCTACGCACACAATCCAAAAGTATCTGCAAACTCATAATATTTTTGATAATAGAATAATTTTATTAAACATAGTAAATCAGTCAACTATTTAGTATTTTTATTTATTCTTGACAATATATATATACATGCACGTTAATATTAATAGTTATACATTCATATAAAGTAATTATCACATTAAGAAATATTAGTAATTTCACTCCAAACAAAATTACATTAAAAGATTTCCTACTGTCACTGCAATAATCTATTTTCGTAGTAAAGCAATAGTCGAGATGAGTTGGGGAAAAAAAAAAAAACAGCTGGTTGTAGGCTCGACTGCAAACGATGGGATTGCTAAGCTTCGGACTATAGCGGCAGTTATATTGTTTCTCTTTCGGATCAGCATGCATACAGCTAAACACTGACTTTCCTCTATCTTGCATAAATCATGATTATGCCATTTGCTTCATATCCCCCACAGCAAATTTTTTTCTTTGCTTATGGAAACTTTTTTTAATATTACAATCATAGCTGCCAACACTGATAGGAAAAAATCCAGTAGATTTTACGAAATATAAAATTTCATGATAATTGTTGCATGATGTATGTACTAAATATTTTAAACATAGGGAATTTTTATAGTCATCAAAATAGAAAAAATGCAATATTTTCCACTTCTGATTGACATAAAACATACTTGAAATGTTATGTATTATGTTTACTCAGAATTTTGAATAGTTTTAGGCACTTAATTCATCAAAGATAGTTAAAATATTTTTTTAATTAAATTAAAAAGAGAGTTCTGAATAAAAATAGGCTAAACATTTTTGAAGAAAAAAAAAGTTTCGAACTATTTTTTATAAATGAGGTTTGCATCATTATGAATTATTAATACTTATTTAAATATTCAAGCAAGCAAGCAATAATCTGTACAAAAATTCTATTTCAATAAGGATTTTTTTAGGAAATTTTCTCAATATTAGAGAATTTTCTAAAATGTATAAAAACCAGGAGAATTTTAATGAAACCAGTAGACCAGGAGAAACTGGCTTAATCCAGTAGTCTACTGGAAAATCCAGTAGAGTTGGCAGCTATGTACAATAAATATTAAAAAAGGATCAGCAAAATTGGAGAATCACGACCAATGTATCCACGTACGACATGTGCCTATATCATCTAATTAGGACGGTGAGCATTCGCTGCAGATCATTTCTGTTAAAGCCAATTTTCTTTAATTTGTCGAACTTTGATATCTCGTCTTTAAAGCAGCGTGCAAACATCAAATTCAATGCCTTACTTCAGAAATAACTTTCTCAGATGCTCAAAACGATAAAGAGGGCATACGGAAATAATGCCATGATAAAAACAACCTGCCTCTCTATGAGTAGCATACCCGTTGAGATAGCATACGCGTTTTGGTAAATATCGCACAAACAAAATGAGCTATATAACTAGTAATTTTGCATTTTCTCACTAAGAAAAAAATTAGTTTTCATTAAAATAAGCAAAAGTGCATGTAAAAAAAACTTGGATATAATATTCAAAAATTAAATATATTATCAAACTTGTTTACATAAAAACCATGTGATCAATAAAATAATATCTTCTTAAAGACATGTAAAAAGATTCTAAAAAAAAAAACTTACTTCTTTTAACATTGTATTTAGGTCATTCCCACTAAATAAGCTTTTATAATAATTACGATTTTCTCTTGCCACTGTGAAAGGCATCTTCTCATACAAGTTACTAAAAATGAAGAGAAATAAATTATTTTGCCTCCGTAATAATAATAACAAATAAATTACGACTTCTATTCTTTTTCAGTTAGTAAACAAACCACAATAGTCAAAAACATTATTTGCAGACAATTATTCAATTAAAAAAACCAGTAATACAAATTATACAATTTATTTTGCCTGAATGAATAAGAACAGAATTATTTCAGTAGTAGTAAATGTCATAAATATGTAAGGGATGTAGGAAAGACAAGCAAAATGGTCCTTTAAGTTTTCATCACATTTAAGTGCTGCCAACTTACAGTTCGACTTTGATTCACATAAAAGCATAGACACTTTTAATGAATACAATTTGGAACTTAACTACTGTCTGTGTCTTAAGTGACTAGTATATAGTTTATTTTAACCAAGATGCTCATTTAAAAAAAAAAATTTTTTTTCAAACAAGAAATCGAAGGTAATTAAGTGTCTTTACTATAACTATTGGTCTATGTTTTAATATTGCAAAGTAGAATGGATTGAAACAGTTGTTGAACTTCCATTATAAAAAGAATTCGTATATTAAAGTGGAATATATTTTCTGCTGCCTTGATGAACAAAAAGTGTGACAATTAGAGTAAAACTGCTAAAATTTAATAAATTATAATTCTGTGATAGCTCTTAAAAGTTATAATTTTTTAACAACAAAAAAAGTCTGCATTGAGTAAATGAATTAAATCTTTTTCAAGAGGCATCCAATCTAAGAATTTTCTCCTGGGAAACCACACAACACTGGATTATAGTTGATAACTTTTTCATACTATTGCTATAAGATTTAAGATACTTAAACTTTTTTAGTCTGTTGTACTGCAAATGTATTGTTTTTACAATAATCTCCAAAACTTAAGCTGTCCATTTTGCCCACCCTTACACTAAAGTGTCAATTTATACACAAAAAAATGCAAAAAGGAATGAGATCAACGATAGAAATGCCAGATTAGAAAACATACTCACTGGAAAAAATCTACAGGTAAAGTAGGACCAATCAAGTAACGAAAAGCTTGGTCAGCTGCAATATTTCCACAAGGTACCGTTTTGTTAAGACTAATTAATGAATCAATAGAATCAACATGTGGATGAAGACCATTGGCTGATGAATGAGATTGATTTGATTTGAAATGATGCTGAGAGCTAAATGATGGAAATCTACTACTACCAGGAGCGCTAAAACTTCTTGAACTACTTCCCACAGACAAATTAGCTACAAAAGTATAAAATAATTTTAAAATCAAAAACTTATTCAGTATCATTATGTTTCATGAACATAAGATAAATGCAATATACTAATTTCTTGTGTACAATGCACAAGAAGAAAAAAACAGTATTCTGGTTTATTCCCATAAAAAAAGAAAAAACAATACTCTATTCAATTTAAAAAAATAAGAATTATAGAATATTTAGAAACAGAAATTATTACCTCTACTTAATGTCTTTTTCTTCCTGGGAGGTTTAACATCATTTTGTTCACTTTCGTCAGTTTCTTTTGTATTTTCCAGAGTGATTTTCCTTTTCTTAGAGTTTATCACATTTTGAGCTGAAACAATTAAAAAATATATATACTAAACAAAAATCTGACACAAATATTAATATAATACATTCACAATGTTCAAAAGTAATATCAAAACAAATACAGTTTCAATTGTAACGAGTTTCCTGATTTATTGGTCAAATCACCTTGACACTTCAATATTATATGATTTATTGCTCAAATCACCTTGACACTTCAATATTATAAAGGAGTTTGACTTGATATGAAATAATGCAGCTCTATTCATTTTAAGGAATGATGAAGAATTTCTTTGTTGTTATTTGATTCCTAAATGAGTCAATATACGCTTAAAAAAGATGATAAAAGTAAAACCTTAATTACGACCCTTTGTGAGCATTTGGTGAAAGAATTTCAACAATACCCTTTCAACGGATTAATGTAAATAAAAAATCGGATATATAGGAGAGTTTTAATCGCATTTAGGCAATCAATTACCAATCAATAACAATCAGTTAAAATGAAATGGAGAATTAATGATCCAAATGATTTAAGACAGCAGTTGACAAAAACTGTTCTACAGAATCATAGAAGTCAATAAGTTGCAATGGTAGGATTACAGAGATTCCAAAAGGCTGAATTTTTTTTACACCATTGACATAGTAGAACAGGGTTTAACCAACAAACTCGGGGTATGTCAGAAAAGTAAAATTTCTAGATAATCAGGGAACCTTCTTAAGTCAGCATTTCAATGTATAAATATTGACATATGTGTAAAATTGTAAAAAGTTAAGTAGTTGCGATGATAGAGCTTTTAAACATTTTGTTTTATTTTTCCATAATAAATCACGATATTATATCAAAACGAATGAAACATTTATGCGTTTTATTTCTTGTTTAAATTTTAATTTTTAGTTGCCATATTTTAGATGCTATACCAATGATGAAAAGCTTATTGGATCTTTTTTAACATGTGTCTAAAAAGTGTTGTATGATTGGGATTCTACCTCAATTATATTTATATCTAAACCTCAATCCATAATTTAATTAAAATTCTGATTGTTCCAATAAACTCATTACATTTATTTAAAGTGCCAATGAGAAAAATAGCAAAACTATTTTTTTTTTCAATAATATTACATTGAATAAGTTATGAAAAGAATATGAATTCATAAGAAATTCAATATTTCAATTCATAATAAAGTAACTAAATTCAAGAATGAAGAATAGCAGCCCTTTGAGTAAGTTTTTTTTTAAAAATTTAAATTTTCAAAAAATTAAATTTTTCTTTTTTTATATATTTTGGAAAAATTCTAAAAATTCTGGAGATTTGTATACTTTTTGGGATTCTAAGTGATTTCTCCAATAAAGTTGGCAGTTACAAAAATCTTAAACATTTAGATCAATGCAAACTTTTCGATATAACATTTTGAAACATACTACTTTCTTCCTTTATTTCATTCTTAAAGTGAACCTCGCTTATTCCATCTTCACTTTTCACCTTTTCGTTATAAGAATTATCAGAACTGCTTGCATTTTCCTGTTCATCTATTCAGAGACAAAATAAACAGCAATTATTGAGAAAGAAAAGATAAAACTTTAGATTCATAAAACTGGAATGCAAGTTGGATGAAACAACTCTAAAAAAAAACTTAAATCTTTCTAAATGATTTCCCTTGTTTGTTTTAAATTAGCAGCTAAACTTAGGCTTTCAAATATTATTATATAAATTCTTATTTCAAGTGAAATGGATGAATATTTATAGCCGATATTTCATATATTTATATGAGTTTTTTTTATTCTGAGAAGCACCAGAAGAATTTTTTGGTTTAAAACTATGATAAGGGGACCACTTTGAAACTTGACTTGATTAAACAAAATGGCATAACTAGAGAAGGTGGCTACAACATTTTTAATAATTATAACTTATTTATTCACTATTTTATGTCAATAGAATTTATGTTTGTCATCATTAATTTTGTGTTATCACAAAGGAAAAAATGAAAACTATGCAATTAAGTCACTAAAATACTGGAAATATATAAGCCTTTAAATATTTATATTTGAATCAATTTTGGGAAAATTTTTCTGTAAAATTTCAAGAATTTTCAGCAGAACAAACTTTTTTTCCACAAAATGTTATATGTAGCTATAAAAATTAAACAACATGAAATAAATTAGGAGGTACTTTTTGGCTTTTGGTCAATAAAAAAAATACTAAGCAATTTTAAACTGTATAATTACAAAGGACCTATTGATCTCATTTTTTTAAACACATTCTTAGACATCACTTTTCAACATAATATAAAAATTAATATAGTTTTTAGACGTAAAAAATACATGATTTTTAGCCAAAATATTTCAAGATTGTTTTTATGGTGAAATAACAAAGCCTCCAAACTTTATTTTTTCATATGATAGATTAATCAACTTCTAAATTTTAAAAAAAAATCAAAATTCTCTCTCTTTTTATTTTGTTTACGGTTATGAAAAAACGAGAAGTAGTGGTTTTAAGCCAAGATATTAATGCTACAATATATTTATAAAGAAAACTTTTTGCTTCTTTTTAATTGTTTACTTAATTAGAAAAATTTAGTACATTTATTGTACATATAATATTTTAGAATTCTTTTGATTACTTGATTGAAAATAATAAGATTGGCTTATTCTTGTTTTTATAGAATTTAGATTAAACGCTTTTCATTTTTCTTGTGATTTTTGATAATATTATGATAGGTAACTGAACAAATATATGATGAACTAATTTTTAACAGGTAATTAATAAACAGGTGCTGAACTAATTTTTTATATTATTATAATAGGTTATCATTTGATGGCACAATACCTAAAAAAACATAGATTGGAAATAAAGTTATGCAGATTTTCCACTAACATTGAAACTTGCATGCTACTTTATATTTGTGAGTTTTAACTTTGGTATTGATAATCATTATAATTTAAATATATTTTTAACAATGTAGAATGTACTAAAAAGAGATTAATTTTTATAGAACTATATGTTTCAAAATAAGCAAAAAAATTATGGCATAACAAAATTATACATTCAATCAGAGTTAATACAAACATACCATTTGTCTCTTCTAATTTTGTTGAAGACTGAATACTAGTTTCAGGAAAACTGTAAAAAGCATTTTCACTATCATCTTCTTCTCCTTCAATTTCATCTGTACTAGCTAGCTCCTCATCATCTTCATTACAAACAAGCTGTTCTTCAATATCACCCTCTTCACCAGATGACTCTATATCTTCCTCATCCTCAATCTCAGATTCATCACCATCAGATTCACCAACTTCTGATTCACCAACTTCAGATTCACCAACTTCAGATTCACCAACTTCAGATTCACCAACTTCAGATTCATCACCTTCAGATTCATCACCAGATACTTCAACACCATTACTTTCATGTTCAACATCTTCAAGACCTTCATCAATAGGATGGTCAGTTTCTTCTCCTTCAGAACTTAAATCAGCTTCTGAGCTATGATCTTCAATGATTTCTGTGGTGCTCTTAAAACTAACCGAAGTTTTTCGCTTTCTTGTTCTTGGGCTATTTTTTTTCTGAAGATCAGACTTTACTTTTACTGAACTCGTCGTAGGTTTCCTAGGTCTACCACGTCCTTTTTTGCCAATAGCCTGTTTCGCTGCCTGAAAAATAAGGTAGAGCAAAGAAGATCAATAGAAAAAACAGCTTAAATCAATTTTTAAGAAATGCAATATTCTAATCAGGGTTGGCAAGATTTTGTCGCTGGTGGAAAAAACCATGGTAAATACCGGTAAAAACCGTCCTGGCAAAAACAGGTTTTTGCCAAGCAAATTGGCAAAAAGTGGCAAAAACCTATATTTTCCAAGATGAGAGGACAAAAACACATTTTTGGTACAAAATTATTCCTAAAATTGAAATATATACTATAAATATAAATAATTACAAAATTATTATTCCATAATTAAATCATAATGTAATAATATATCATTTTAGTAGTTTAAAACATTAGTGATTGGAAAATTTGCGATTATTCTCTTTTTTCCAGTGAAATGAACTTATTTTAAATTAATATAACTATAATTTAAAGCATAAAATATCTATCAAGATGTGTAGTTAATAATTGTACAAATAATAATATTTATTTACTATTTGTAAAAAAACATTTATTTAAGGATTCTAAAATGAAAAGAGGTCAAAAACTTTCAATGTTTTAAAAATTATTGCCTTTATATTAATTATTAATATGTTAAAAATAATTTTTTCATGTAATGTATCAAAATTATTATTCCTTATGATTGATTTAAATTTGTTTCAAGTATTTTGTAATAATATTTAATTAGCAATTTAGATGATTTGGTTTTTGCCGGTTTTTACCAGTTTTTGCCACTGTCCTGGCGAAAACCCCTTTTTGCCGGCAAAAACTCCAACCCTGATTCTAATATTAGTATCTGTTTCATCAAACTGCTATCATTTAAATATTACTGTCCTGCTCTAGTACTTGCAATAAATTACTTAAAAAACAAATAAATATAAAAAACAGAAAAAGTTTGATACAATGAGGTTGCTAGATTGTGAGAAGACCGCGATTACACTAATTTTTCAAGTTACTGTTAAAAAAACTAATAAAGATGCAAAAGTTTTTTTGTATATTTCTTCTGCTACTTAAATGAAGAATGTTTACAGAAATGGATAAAAATTATTATTATTTTTTTTTTAATTTACAAGTATTTATTATTCATAAGTACAAAAAAGTAAAAATATATACATCATTTCACCTTATTTCCTAACTAGAATAATAAACTCTTATTTTTATAAAACAAACATGTCGAGACGATCACAGGCCAAAGTACATTCAGGAATAAATAAATAAATAAAATAAAATTTCTACTATTTTTTGGTAAAACTGTTGAACACTTGTTCACTATAACGACTGTTGCATTTAAGTTAATTTTTTAGTTTTACTTTTAATACAACTATTTTAACATTAAATATGTGTATTGCTTATAATGACAACTTTAATTTCTATAGTGAATTGTCATTGTTAGGGTCTCTCACAGTACATAAAAGTCGCATGCCTCTGGGAGGTAATGAATTAAACTCCTACAATTAGTCCTTTAATTTTTTTTTTCAAAGTTGCAACTATCTGATTTTTTAAAACTTGTTTTATTTAGGTGCAGAAACTGATATGGAAATCTTCCCATTGTATCACAATAGACATAATTGAATATAGAATCATCTTAGATAAAGTAGCAGAATGAAAGTATAAAAAAATAGCATAAGAAATATAAATATAAAAAAATACCAAAGACTTCACTTTTGTTGGGGAAGTTGAATTTTTTTTTGGTCGCCCACGTCCTTTCTCAGCAGTTTCCTTTGATGCTGACTAAAATGATAAATAAAAAAAGATAAGATAGAGTATAAAAAAAATATCAATTAAAAACAAAATTGTAATCATTCTATGCTGCTGTCTTCTTTTTACTGTGTTAATAAAAAAAAATAAAAAAAAAAATAAAAAAAAAATAAATAAATAAAAAAAAATAGTTCTTTTCAAATCACTGAATGGGGCTCTGCAAACAGGCTATTTTCTGGTTGAGATAACAAGAAAAAAAAATTCTTTCAGAAATCTCTAATTTTTTGTAGTAAGATATGGGAGAAAGAAAACATACCAGTCATATTTAAGATTTTAACAGAATGCAAAACCATCTTTAAAACCATTAGAATCAATCTATCACGAAAGTGTCATAATAATGAGGCGATGAGAAAATAACATTTTTGAAGTTTATACCAACAAATAAAATTAAAATAACAATATATACTCTTAAACTATCCTAAACGAGGGATTTAGAACAGTTATTCATAGATTTTCAGAAAATAAATTAACTACATAAATTACAAAAAAAAAATCGCATTAAGAAAAAAAGCATTACATGCTTTTGAAGTTTATTCCTATAAATGAATGTTCTTTACGTTAGAGGAAATTAAAACATTAATCAAAACTTTTTGAGAAAAGAGATTAACATTTTTAAATTTAAAAGAGGAAATGAGAGTAATCTTAATGCTAATTCAATATGCTTATTCATAATTTTTTACACAGTGAAGGATTTTTCCTAAATTACAGAAATTTGCTTTTGCTATTTTCTCAAAACAACCTTTTCATAGAAAATGTACACTGTTTCTAACTAAATAATAATACCATGGATCTGAAACATTCTAAATTGCTATGAACGAGGAAAAATATAAAGTATGAGTTTCAAATTTTTCCGCAAAATATCAACCCTGTGGCGGCACTAACTTTGAACTTTTGTGATCTGGCAACTAAACAAAAAGATTCAGTTTAGTTTTCTGTAACAAAGAGATCATTTTTAGCTTTTGTGTTCTACTAGAGATAACGTCAACAATCTTTGTCTATAGTTGTGTTCTAATATTTCCACAAATATTATTTACTTGTTAAATGTTATATTAAAGTGGTTAAGTTTTACTGTTCTTATTTCATTTACTTAAAGCAATAGTTTCAATTACATAGACTTATATATCGGCTAAACTGGTGACAACGGACGTGATGGATGGCGAAAATGGAAACAGTTTTAAAACGGAGCCAGCAATGCCAGAATTTTCGCGTGTAGCTGCTAAAGTTCCCCAATTTTGGAAAGAAAATCCTGCAATATGGTTTTCACAGGTGGAATCTCAGTTTATTACTGCGGGAATTACTCAAGATAGCACAAAATATCATACGATCGTTGCTTCAATCGAGACGGGCATTTTATCGCAGGTCAGTGACATTATCACTTCACCTCCAGTTACAAACATGTATGATTCTTTAAAGCAAAGATTAATTGAAATGTTCAGTATTTTTGAAGAACGTATTTTAAAAAAACTCTTGCAAGATATCGAAATTAGGTGATAGGCGACCGTCTGCATTGCTGCGACAAATGTAAGATTTGGCTGGTGATCGTGTTGGCGACGCATTGCTAAAATCATTATGGCTTCAAAGACTTCCCACTCAAATGCAAGCTATTTTAAGTGCTTTATCAGATCCTCTTAATAAATTAGCTATAATGGCGGATAAGATTGCTGATGTTACTTTTTCAAATGAAATATTATCTGCTAGTTCAGAAGCGAAACAAAAAGGGCCAAACGATTGCGATTATTCAAATACTATCGAATCGCTTCAAGCTCAAGTGTGTGAATTAAATAAAAATACTTGATAAAGTGTTGCGTTTCCGAGGTCGAAGCCCTGGTAAAAATATGAATAAATACCGTAATCGATCCACTAGCAAAAATAGACTTTGCTGGTACCATTACCGTTTTCGTGAAAGAGCTAACAAATGTATCCAACCATGCAGTTTCAAGCAGGAAAACTAGACGGCCATGCGTTACTGGCGGCGAACGCCAACGGCCATGCAAATTGTCGCCTTATAGTTATTGATAGGACATTAGGTCTTAAATTATTAGTAGACACTGGCGCTGATATTTCTGTTTTGCCACCTTCTCAGAATGAACGCAATAAGACTCCGTCCATCTTGAAACTCGTTGCTGCTAATGGTTCTCAAATTCCGGTTTATGGAACACGAAAATTGGATCTTGATATTGGACTGCGTCGCATCTTTCCCTGGACGTTTACTATTGCTGATGTAT